TATTGAGCTGCTGCAATGGAGCAGCTCTAATGCGCCATTAAAATGAACAGTGAAAGTAACAAAAGCTTTTACAATACATTTTAACAGGTAAGTTAAATGTGGAAATAACGGAAGGAAGTATCTGTTTGCTAAATGAAGCCATCTAACATGATTCATATTATTATTATTATTTTGTTTCTGTACCCAGTATTTAAAAAAAAAATTACAAATGCTGTAAAAATACAGGTATCGGTATCGGCGAGTACCAAAAATGAAAGCATCGGTATAGGACTAATTCTGAAAAATGTGGTATCGGTGCATCCCTATATATATATTTTTTTTTTATTCCTGTGATGGCAAAGGTGAATTTTCAGCATCCATTACTTCAGTCTTCAAAGTCACATGATCCTTTAGAAATCATTTTAACATTTTTGATAATAAAAACAATTGTGCTGCTTAATATGTTTATATGGAATAGAAATGTCTTTACTGATACTACTGATTACTGATAGATTAATGCATTCTTGCTGATTAAAAGTATATAAATACTTAGATAGATAGACAGATAGATATAGATTCCGACTCAAAATGCCAGATTCAAAACAATTTATAAATTTAAGTAATACAGCTAATAACATCTACTGTATGTAAATGATGTTTGACACAAATTTTCAAAGGTTTGGTCTGAACATTTACTAAATATATATTACAATTCTCTCTGCTCTCCCCATTCAAAAGATGTCTGGTAAAAAGCAGATAATTTTTTTTTTTTTTTTTGAGGTGAATAAAGACGGCAGCCTTGAGATAGAAATGAAGCGAGCAAACTGCAGTGGGAAAAGTAGGTGTGATTAAATATATATACAGTCATGTTAAGCAGCTCTTCTGCCCAATTTGTCATGCAAATTATAGATGGCAGCTTTGCAGCCTGAGACATGAATCATTGATGTGAATCCAGTGTTTCGGTGTGGATTAATGTTGTAAATCCACACAATTAAAAGTGGAAAAGCGATTCCCATCTCGCAATTATGTGATGATATGACATCTTATGAGCATCCGTGTGCAACAGTGCATGCAAAAGAAGGCTTGTGCCAGGAATGGCTGTGAACCGCACCATGTAAAAGGAGGAAAATTTAATTTGACGCACTGAGTATGGTGTATTTAACAGATTTAAACAAATGTATTTTATGATTTCATTGCAGTGATGTCAAACGCTTTACATCAGTCATAAGGCATCTGGATTCTTCGGACATTAATAATGACCCCTGTCTCGGATCAGTTTGACGATGCACCTTTGTGATTGTTCAGACGAACCAATAAAGCTTTTTTCCACTGTGAACTATGAGATTGGACAAGATAGAGACATCTGTCAGGCCGAGTTTGACTGAGCAAAGACTACAACAGCCCCAAACACTCACGAGCAAAAACGCGTTCACCTCTTTCCCCTCTCGTCTCTGCTGATGTTAACTAAACTAAAGCATGTGAAGTCTGCCTTTAAAGCCAAAAACACTCTGCACACTGTCATGTCCAATGTCGTACAAATGAACAAATAATGAAAAATCCCCCTTTCTGACGAGATGAAAGGATAAATATAGAGAAAAATCATCACATCACCTGTTTACTTTGGAAACGAGTGGCTTTTAATGTATGCTATAAATATCTAAATAATGTATGCGGATAAATATTTCACGCAGGATTTTTAAGACTTTCTGCACTAGTTTGAAGCTTCATTAGGAATTCCTTCACTCTCCCTGCACCGAGCAATTTCAGGTTTTATCGGTCGTATGTTGCTGATATGATGAAATTTTAAAAAGCGTGTGACGGCGGCATGTCAGATAAACACAAGTGTCTCATCAGACGAACCATAAGCCTTTTACAATCCCGCTGCATTAAAATCAGAAGGACACAGGAAACTCTGAACTGTAAACCTTAATGTGTCACACAGTTGTGTGGCAAGGTCAGAGTTCACTCAAACAAGGTTTGAGTAATTTTATATCAAGTGGTATTTAATGCATGTTGTGTTTTTATTATTTAGAGTATTGTTCATATTGCACTATATATTGCACATATTACACATATTTTGCACTTTCCTTGAATAGGGCATACTTTGTCCTTTTGTGTCCTTTTGTGTACTACAAGCATAAATCCCATGTTTATGTTGTAAGAACTATTATGAATGTTAGATATAATACTGCATCGCACATTTAAAATACATTATTTTAACTTATAGCCAAATAATGGTAGTAAAACATATATTCATTTGTTAACTAAGTACCAAAAATTTAATATTTACACATTATCAGTTTATTAACAATTTATTGACTGCATTCATCAAGCTCAACAAGAAGCCCCTTTTTTATTTATGGGAAATTAGTTTATCAGCAAATGCAAATCATTATTTGGTTCAAAACAAGCCTCTTTTTTTCTTGAGGTTGACATTCACCATACTTTTTTTTTTTTTTTAAGAAAACCGTTTCAGGTCTAATTTTGTACCCTATTTGTGGAAAGTGCCTTCTACCATTGAGCATGCAGTAGCTGAACTAGGATTTATGCATTGATCTTTTCTTTTCCTATTCTTATTTACTTACAACAGCAAAAACCTCAAAAGTTTTGAGTTATAAGATATGGCATGCTCTGTAAATGTAATCTGACATCACATTTGGTGCAGATTTCCCCCTGATATAAACAGTAACTACTGAAGTCCTCACAATGCACAACAGAATTTGAACTATAATGATGATGTTAAATATTTGATTTACTAATACTACAAAATGTCCTAGTTTATGACCAAACCCGTGTCACTGCTGCACTCTGGAAAACCACATTTTATTACCGCTGAGAGTCATCATAACTGTGTGGTTTTTTTTGTATTATGTATGTTATGTTGTGTGTGTCAAACAAGTGCAGTGCTGTGGAAAATAATTTCCACAATAAAGTTAAAGTTATAAGTTAAATGTCAAGCCCTGTCAAGTTACTTTCAGCTAAATGTCATGTGAATACATGACAATGGACTTTAGAAATTATTAAGTGGTTCAAGTGCTTCTTGTAATACCACAGCTGATGTATTTTACATTAGAAACTGGATCTTCTCATATAGACAGTGCAAAGATGAGTGGAGACAAGCATAGACTGGAATAAAATAGACGTGTCTGACATAATTGCACATCTGTTATGAATGTTTAACAACTGTGTTTAACATCTTAGTTATTTGTGGTTAAATATAAATAGGGTACTACTTGGATGTAAACCTGGGTGACACTAATGCGCAAAGTAGACTACTGTCAATCTACCTATCTATAGATTATGATCACCTGATTATGGTATTGCTTATGCTATAGTTAGCAAATTAACAACAATTATTTTATATATTTTTTTCTTTATAGTTCTTTTCCTATTTATATAATATAATATAATATAATATAATGTGTTTTTTTTTAATTGTCAGTAATATTAGCTGTTAGACCTCCATACCTGCAGATGGCAGACTGGCTGTAGGCAGGGCCTTCAGTTGCACTGAGAGCCTGGCCCACCTGAGTTTGAGTCAGACCCAGAGACAGCCGGCGAATTTTAAATGCTTTGGCGAATTCTCGAATCTCCTCCAGGTTCACACCATCCACCTCACTGGGGGCAGTCTGAGGGTCTACAAAACAGAAGAGAAAAGATCAAAGCTGCAACTCTCCATTCACAAATTCATAACCTTCAAACAAAGCAATGTTACTCTGCTTTTGCTTTGTTTTTTTTATATATACAAAATAATATTGACATTGAAGACCTTCTAGCTATTTCAAGCAGATGCTTGAACAAAGGATGATTTCTATGAAATCATTTTTATTTCCATATATTGCAATTATGTTTTTGATTTGGCTTATCTACCTCTTGTTATTTTCTTGCATGATCTAATATAACATGAATATCTTAAGAGTCTTTAAAGATTAAATGCATAACTGAATTTAAGCATAATATGACTCTGACAAGGATGACTTCAAAATAGCTTCCATTTATCTATTATTCCTGTTATTTTCCAACCACTGACTGATTTTTCTTAAGATATGGTTTCTGATTTACTGGCTTACATGCAATGTAAGTGTGAAAGTTAGTGACAATAAAATCAATACTACATTGAAATCTGTTCTTATTAGCCAAGCTAGGAATTACACTTCTCAAATGAATGTTTCCGTGAATTGCATTCTAAAATGCCTTTCTGAAAGCAATGCATATTCATTTTATGCCATATTATTGCTCATTTTGCTATAAAATACAGAGGAATGCAGAGGTTCAATTTCAGTTTGATTAATTTAGCAGCTTTAGAAATGCACTTCAGGGTGTGTAGTTTCAAGATGGCATTTTAGTTTAATAAAACCTGACTGGGTATCATACATCACTGCCAGGTGGTCTTACATCTTGCTTATATAAGAAAAGTTTGGCAACTAAATAATTCATGGGCGTCATTATGAATGAATTATTAAAAGAATCCATCGGACATATTTAAAGTCAAAATCTATTGAACCAGCACCCTGTCACTCCCCATATGCAAATCAGATGTTGAAAGCTGAACTTGCTCCTATGCAACATTGAAAAGTTAAATGCAGCAGTTTTGTATTCTGACCACATAATAATCATTAATGACAAACCATAAGGGCACATAATTGTGTTCATCGCTGAACTGTGCAAATTAATTCCTTTTTAATAATACTCCTAGATTTAAGAATATGACACAACAAGGACAACCAGGACCCAATCATTTCATGTCTTAACAAAGCCCAACAGTATGATTTTATATTTTTATTATGATTTCCACCTCATTGAATAAAATACAAGTAAGATTAGCCAAATCCAAAATGTGCACAGTCCTTGAAAATATGCCATTTTTTCCATCTGAGCTGAACATGGTGGCTGTGGGGGTCAGTCAGACTTTTTTTCCCCTCCATTCAAAACATGTTCTGGGGAATTAACGTTAGCCAAGGACATCGCGACAAACACAATCTGGCATGGAGAGCTGCGCCACGGCGGTAAACTGATGAAATGAATACAGAATGCTAAAGGTATTGTGTATGTTTTGAACAAAACAAAATAAAAAAGAAGAAAACACAACAGTCCATCGGTTATATCCACAGCAAGTTGATCAATGGCAACTTCCTGTTTATTAAATTTAAAACTCCATTGCAGATGGTTTTAGGCCAATTGGCTATGACAAATGAGAATTTATCTAAGTAAAACAGTTTTTAAAAGGGTCGCCGTGACTCTGACAGGCTGGAGGGAGTGATTTATATGTGGTGCTTCTGGAGGCCAAAGCCGTTCTAAACACAACCTTCCTTTCATTAGGTCCACAGTTTGGTCAGCTAGATGGCAGAATCAACTAAAATTTGATAAAAACAGAATAAAAAGGCAGCATATTTTCGTTAACACTCATCTAAAAAACAGAAATCTACCATTTTCTTTGTGTAAAGCATTTATGTGTAATAAAAGTGGATCAGCTAACACGTAGAGATGCGGTGCACACTCACTGCTGACTAGCTGCCCGACGCTAAGAGCAGAGGATGAGGATGATGATGTTGAGGAGGAGGAAGAGGCCTGGCGGAGGGGGCTCTGGCTGTGGGGCATACGGAGCAGACTTGGCTGAGACACAGGAGGAGCCTGTGAAGTCTGACCGGCCTGCGACAGCTGTGAAAACACACATGTGAGCTGTGACACACACTTAAGAAGGTTCATACACACAAGGTGAACAACAACAAATATAAATGGATTAATCTCTGACAAAAATGTGTGATTTTACTATGGTAATTTGATATATTAGCAGTATATACATGGTACTTCATGGTACCTGAATTACCATGGTAGATGTTGAAGGTAATAAAGTAATATTCAAGGTTCAGTACAAGTTAAATCCAATCAACAGCATTTGTGGTAAAATGTTGATTACCATTACATTTTCATTCATTTTGACTCATTCGTATGTTTTGTTAAAAAAAGGGATTGAGGTTATGGTGAGCCACTTACAATAGAAGTGAATGGGGTCAATTTTAGAGAATTTTAAAACAAATATAAAACTTAGAATTTTACAAAAGCACTCACGTTAATTAGTCTGTTAAAAAGTTGCAAACTCATCATTTTTTGGTTGTTTTTGGTTAAAAACTAAAAGTTATCATCGCAAAGAAGCTGTAAAATTGGATATAATTTACACAGGAAAGCTAAGTTGCATTCTCACACTAAAATCATGTTACCACACATATTGTTTCCATCTTGTGATTATTCTATTGTCTTTCTTTACCTGTAGAAAAAATGACTTTATTTGTGTGTTTTTTTTTCTCAGCGTTTATGAACACACTATTCAGAAAGCATCACAATTTTGAAGATTAAATCTGATCATGAAAGCTGATCTGATCATGATGAAATAAAGAGGTTGTTTCCATTTTAAGAGACAAGAGATTTGGAGTCATGTGGTTATTTACAAGGCAAAACTGCTGAGTCTTTTATTAGAAATTCATAGCCTCTTTATTAGAGATGAAAAATGTGGACGGGTGGAGATTTTAGAGGTTGCATTCACTCCCCATGCAACTTCTCATTGAACACGACTGTCAGATACTTTAAATTGCACAAAAGAAACGACAGTATTTGGCTATTCAGCACCGAAACCTTAACACAAAAAGGAAAACACACAGCCCAGAAATCAAAATTATGTGTCTACAATATGAGTCATTATTATGGGCAATGTGGCATGACTGCAGCACCATACATTTTCATGTTTTATGCACCATCGAGCACCTCTTTTAGATGGTGCATCTCCACTCTTCAAGAAAGCAAGCGTCTCATCTGTCTAAAAGTGGGTTGGCTTCTCTCTGCTGTTCTCTTGCACTATTAATTCTCCTCTGTGTGTTTGTGCGTGAGTGTGTTTTTCTTTGGATGCTGAGAGATGTCAGTAGTGTTGCACACACTGTCAGAACTGTCGACAGGTCTGGGAGAATTACCGTGCTTCAGTGGATCTCTCTGCCGCTGTGTATGACAGCCATAAATTATCGCTGCATGAAAATGTTTGGGAGTCAATTGAAACGCAGACAAATCCACAAACATTATTTCAAATGCATTACTGCGTTTACGTACGTGATCAAAGGTTCCAGTAAATATGACACGGAGTTGCTCCAACAGAAATGAGGTTGACCTATAGATGCTTTTATAGCCAACCGCTGTAGATTATAGGGTGGGACGGGGAATAATATGCATGCCTGTATAGTCTGCTGTGTTTTGCACTGTTGTTAGGCTCTTTAAATGTGTTTTCTTCCTACCTTTTTGTTTATTATTTGATATAAGTGTTTGATCATTGTTATTTGAGGATGATTCATTTTAAAGTCTGATTATTGTTATGCATTATTTTAGGTGCAAGGCCTTTAAATGCAGTGTTCCTATGCTGGGCTGTATGATTGGGTTATCTTGGCATATAGTATCTGACTTGTACGTTTTTGGCTTTATTATGTTGTATATTATAGGTTACTATGGGATTATTAGCACATATGCATTTTTCACAAAATGATTGTCAACACATCAGAGTCATATTTAGCACGTTAAATGTTTCTTATGTTGAAATTTTATATTCAATATTATGTTTTCAGGTACTTGGTCTAATAAGCTTCATATAAAATTTAATTTACATCAACACACCATAAAGTAATTATTTTAAACAGTCATTGCATACCTGCTGTCCAGGTTTAATGGGTGACAGTGTGATTCCCTGGGTGTTGATCACTGGCAGGATCTGGTTGCCAATCACAGTGGCTATAATCTGACCCTGTGCATTGGTCAGCAGCTGCGGTGTGATTGGCTGGACCTGCAGTGAGGGAGTGCCGCCCCCTGATTGGCTGGAAGGTCCTACAGAGTTTGGCATCAGAGGGATTGTACCAATGATCTATTAAGAGGGAAGGGAAAGAGAAATAAACAAAATATAATCTACTCCGCTAGTAAGATTTTTTTTTTTTAATGTTTTTGATAGTCTCTTATGCTCACCAAGGCTGCATTTACTGTAGGTGATCAAAAATACAGTAATACAGTAATATTGTGAAATATTATTATAATTTAAAATAACTGCTTTAATGTATTTTAAAATGTAGTTTATTCCTGTGATGACAAAGCTGAATATTCAGCAGACATTTTGCCAATCTCCAGTGTTACAAATCCATCAGAAATATAGTATGCAGACTTGGTGCTCAAGAAACATGCCTAATATATATTAATTTGCTTAATATTTACATTGATTAATATTATTGTGAAAACTGTGATTTTTTTTTCATTCTTTGAACAGAAATCATAAAATCTTTTGAAATCAGAAATCTTTTGTAACATTATAAATGTCAACACTATCACTTTTAATTAATTTAATTGTTTCAGTACAGTATCTTTTCTTAAAAAAAAAACTTTTGAATGTTAGTTCATATATTACAATTTATATACACAATATTTTTTTTACACACGTACAGTATATCTCCTCATGCATGCATGTTGATTTATGTTTGTGCAAAAATACTTTTTATTATTGGCTCTGTATGGTACAGTGTTATTCAGTTGGACATGACAAAGATCATGATCACTCATAATCTTTGTACCTGACAAACACAACAAAGACATCAAGCTAGAGCACTTCATATACTCTGAGGACCTCATCAGTGTCAGAGTATCAAAGCCCTCAGATTTTACCGAATAGAGGGCTGCTTAGTACTGGGTGGAGAAAATAGACTATAACCTTTTTATTTTTGAGAGGCTCGAAAGACATACACACACTCATACATTAGCACTTGCACTGAACCACAAACCCAGATGAACATACACAGTGTACACAAAGACACAAGTATGGGCACATGAAAGCCCCCCACACAAAATGTGCTCTCTGCTCTTCTCTAAAGGTCGGGCTCCGAGTACCTTTATGCGTGCTGGTGCACACCACTGACTGTATTATCTATCATACGACCAGAGGAAAAATCTGTGGATGTGTGTGTGTGTAAAATGCAGAGATGGGCCGAGTTAATAACGTAGCCTCTTAACCACTCGCCCCCCAATAAAACACACACACACACACACACACACAAACACACACACGTCTGGTCAGCTATCCTTGTGGGGACTCTCCATAGGCGTAATGGTTTTTCTACTGTACAGACCGTATATTCTATTGCCCTACACCAACCCTGCCCCTAAACCTACCCCTCACAGGAAACTTTCTGCATTTTTAGATTTTCAAAAAACTTCATTCTGTGTGATTTATTAGCTTGTTTACCCGTGGGGACCTCAATTTAGGTCCCCACCGTGACACGAGTCCCCATGAGTCTGTGTGTATTCAGGTTTAAGTCCCCACCAGAATAGAAAAACAGGTACACACACACACACACACACACACACTATTCTGGTCCTAGTAAGGGACGCCCTCCTCCCACAGTCCTTTTCTCTGGTCCTCATATCCCTCTTTCTCCAGTTGTCACAGATCAAAGGCTGTAACCCTTTGTAGCTGCAGTGTTTTACCTCTCAAGGCCACGGCTTCAATGAGTCTTGTAGAACAACTGCGCTGGAGAAAAGGACCCGACACCTCCTCCCGACACACAACAAGGGTTCACACAACAATGTCAATGGAATTGCAAGACTTAAGACCTCTTACATCTAGAGCACCACAACTACATTCACAAGCACCATGCAATGCATTAATGCAGGAGATCAAAATGCTTGAGGCACCCAATAGTAGGAATGAAAACATTTTCAGTTTTTTTTTTTTTTTTTTACTCATAATACATATATTAGTCACCATGACATCAAAATTTACACTATTTATACTACTGGTCAAAAGTTTGGGGTCAGAAAGATTTTGTAATGTTTTTGGAATAAGTCTCTAAAGCTCACCAAGGCTACATTTGTTCCATAATGTTCCTGTGGCTCAGTGGTAGAGCATTGTGTTAGCAGCGCAAAGGTTGTGGGTTAAATTCCCAGGGAACACACATACTGATAAAAAAAATTATAGCCTGAATGCACTGTAAGTCGCTTTTGATAAAAGCGTCTGCGAAATGCATTAATTTAATTTTTAATTTTACATTTATTTGATCAAAAATACAGTAAAAGCAGTAATATTGTAAAACATTATTATAATTTAAAATAATTTTCTATTTTAAAACATTTTAAAATGTCATTTGTTCCTGTGATGGCAAAGCTGAATTTTCTTCAGTGTCACATGATCCTTCAGAAATCATTGTAATATTTTGATTTGCTGTTTTTTTTTTTTTTTTTGAGAAAACTGTGATATGCTTTTTTTTTCAGGATTCTTCGATGAATAGAAAGTTCAAATGAACAGCATTTAATTGAAATTTATTGAAATATTTTGTAACAATGTAAAAGTCACTTTTGAGATATTTAATGCATCCTTGCTGAATAAAAGTATACATTTCTTTAAAAGAAAAAAAAAATAATACTGACACACTTTTGAATGGTAGTGTACATGTTCCTGGTATTCTTATGAAAGATTCATAAACTCACATTCTTCCAAGGTATGTTTGTTTGCCTTTTTGATCATGTACTAGGAAAGTAGTGCTATATAACTGATTTTATGCTAACCAATTAATGCTCAATATTCGCAAATCAATGAATTCAATATTTCTTTAAAAACATCCTCACTGAATATTTTGTTTAATTTGAAAATATGTAACATTACAGCAGTAAAATAGGTTGTTAATGTTGTTTTATGTTATACAGTTTTTCTGAATTGCTAAAATACATTTCTTGAAACTATCACTCATTTTCTCAAAACCTTAAACACAAATCCAAATACTCAAACTAAATTCACAAAACCTCTGACTCTTCCATCAAAATCAAACAATCACTGCAAAAGCATTTCACCTGTACTCAAAATCAAACAGTGCTCTCAGATCACACACACGAGTCAATAAAATAAACACTACAGAGCATTCATTAGACACTACAGAGAAAAATGGAGAACACAGCATACAGAACATTACAGAAAAAAACTATATTGTATTGAGTAAACAATTTTGCAATTATGTAAAAAAGTATAGTAATTGCAACTGAGTAAGGTGAATATATTGTATAGGTCTACTGTATGTACTGCAAGAATCAAAACTGCTAAGGCCAAAAAGGTCAAATAAAACTCTAAATGAATAGCATGTTACAGTACAATCAAATACTGTAAGTTGTGCAATTGTAAAATCAGGGTCAATGAGAGATTCATTCTGTCTGCATCATGTCTTTGTGCTTGAGTCCGTCCTGAGGACTTTGTCCACATCACAAGTAACGTAGTCTTTTTTGCTAGACAAAGAGAAAAAATCCTCTGGTCTGACAAATCCAGCCTTGAACAAATAGAGCCTAACTGCCTGAACGTGTTTAAGGTTTAGCAGAAAGTGTGCTTTATTCGACAAATTGTCTCAAAGCTAGTGAGAATTTGCTTCAGAGATTGGGGTTTAGTGTTTTAGCAATTCAGAAAAACTGTAATCATAAAGTTGGATCCTTAACCTAGCCTCTTCATAGTGGTAGTCTATGGTACTGCAGGAGGTCTGTCAATAATAGTTTGACCTTAAACAAATGATTATGTTTATTATGTTTAATTAAAGGGGTCATATGACGGTGCTAAAAAGACCATTATTTTGTGTATTTGGTGTAATGAAATGTGTTTATGCGGTTTAAGGTTAAAAAAACACCCGCCTTTTTGAAACGCGTCGATTTTTACAAAGCTCATCGGTCTGAAAAAGCGAGGTGTGCTCTGATTGGCCAGCTATCCAGTGCGTTGTGATTGGCCGATTAGCGTGTGACGGAAATGTTACGGCCCTTACCATACTGTGACCATACATACCCGACGAGACAAAACCAGTAAAACCCATTATAAACGAGGCATTTGTTGCATCTTTTGGAAGGCCAAACAAAGTAGTTTCGCTTTCATAACGAAACACACAGAGTCTCCACGACATGGCGGCAGCAACAATACAACAGCGAGAATCAAAAAGTTACGCCTTCTTTCTTTGTGTGCACATTTGGGCGGCGTTATGCAAATCTTCCCACATCGTGATGTAGACATGTGGGGGCGTGTAAAAACGAGCCGTTTTAGGTAGGCGTGGCTGACTCTTAACTTTTATAAAGAATATCTCTTTGGATTTGAGACTTTAGTCTTTGCAACTTTACAGATCTTCTTTATGCACCAAGAGCTTGTAACACTCCAAAGAGAAAGGAAAAAATGAAATCGCATCATATGACCCCTTTAAAA